ATTCACAATTTGTTCCATTCAAAGTCGGATGTGGGATAGTCCCACTTGATATCGCATACGGCATTTCATTGCTCGCTGAGCAGTTTCTGTTTATCAACAGAGGAGTTTCCTAGCAAGCACATTTTTAATGTGGATAAACAAGGATCTTCTACTAGTATTCAAGAGAGGATCATTTTACACATCTGTCTCTACAAACATTTGCTGAAAAACTCTGATTAATGTTTGATGTAATCTTGACTGATTGATACATTTGATTTGCTTAAATGTGAATGTTTATCCTTGAGTGGCACCATGTTTGTGTTGCGTCAAAAAAGTTTTGTAAGATGTAAGTCAGACTTAAAGTGACATTTTTTAGAGTGCTGCAAGATTGAGTCCTAAAACCAGGAAATAAGTTAGCATTTTTGAACTTTAGTGCCATTTTCCCAAAGTCTAAGGTTTTTTTTTTTTGTTTTTTTTTTGACTGGGTTTTTGGTTAAATTCCTGAAAAAAGGTCAGTGGTGAGCACAAGCTCAATATATTTTCATATTATATTATAGTATGTAAAATACATATGTAATACCCCACTCATTTATTTAAGCATTTGAGTGTCTTACAAAAAGTCAGTTGTTAACAAGTGGCTAAATGGGACTACAGAGATTGTCAAAGACATTGTCAACATCATCACACAGAGCAAAAAGATTCACTCGTTTGCTTTTACAGTTTTATTGTGTTCATACTCACACTTTGCATTATTGACACACTATTTTCCTAATTAATGCTGTTCAGTTGCTTTGACACAATCTGTATTGTTAAAAGCGCTATATAAATAAAGGTGACTTGACTTGACTTGACTCTGTTAGAATAGTTTGCTCAAATTCTGGTGTACTTTGTTTATAGCCTTTATAACTTTAGCTTTTATCTTTTTACTTCTGGCAATTGTATTTAGGCTTCAAAATTAATAAAAGTTGTGTTCATTTGTGACGATTATCATGTTAAACAAAATATGTAAAATTCATAATTTTTTGTTTCCAAACGCCAATAGGAAAACTACTGACTTTTTGTGCCATTGGGTGTTGCTGACTTCCCTGTTGGCCTACAAAAATACGCCATCACTGCAGCAGTTTAATGAAAGACAGCATTACAGTATATCTTAGTGAAAGAATAAACTTATTATATTAAAGTTAACCAGTGAGATTTTCCTTTTTTCACCATCTGATTCATGCATTTGATTAGCATATTACCTCCAGCTCTTAACGTAATCTTAATTAGAAGTGTGATTCTCAAAATCTTCCTAAAATTTCAAAACACCCTCCTGAGAGACTGTGTGCTGCAAGCTTCAAGCAACTAGATGGATATTTATCTCTTTCTGATACATCTGGCTTTGATAAAGTTGATGAGCTTTTTAATCAGACTGTAAACTGTGCTGTCTGTCATGCTCATCCCAGAGGGTTTTTAAAAAAAAATGTATTTCAATCCATTCAAATATTTTTGTCTTTCTAAACAAAGAGACACATTGCACAGCTTAGGCAGAAAAAGTATTCAAAAATATAAAGCCCATTAAAATAATAAACAATGGCAACTGATGTGTACTTAGAGCAAAGTCTGTAGTTTGAAAAGATTGGTGTTACGATGTAGTCCCTCATTAGCTTCGAAAAGTCCTTTTGAATATGCTTTCTTTGAAGAGTGATTTTTTTTTTTTTTTTGCCATCTCTGCTTTCTTGGAGCTTTACTAAGTGAGCAAGAAAAACAGTAACAATTAAAGAGCGCTTAAGCCTTTCACCCACTCCTCCAGCTAATTGGTGACACCGCAGTTTGGTTTAGCCCAATTACACACACTCTCTCTCTCTATGTTGATTAACAATCATCCACCTCTCTTTTTTTCTCCTCCTTTCTTCCATCAGGACAGAAGTCGTCTGTGGGGCTGAAGTGTTGAGTGAGCGCGCTCATATCAACGATAATGTTATTAACGTCCTGAATGCCTGTGCTTTACTGGATGGCGACTAGAGGCAATTCATTTGACTTGTGTAACTGACTAAAGCTCGCTCTCTCCCACTTGTGATTTGAGGGTAATGAGGCTTTTGTCCTTTGTACCTACTAGAGTGAGTGAATACAAGATTATGCATTATTGTGACTCATAAGCATAAGCAGAACTGGGCAGGATGACAAATAGATACAGGAAGTGGCTGTGATGTTGTGCATGTTTATATCCTCAGCTCAGGTTGTCTGGTTGTTCGTATTGATTGTGTAATTCTTGTGGGCTGTTTGCTTTCTCAGGCGGCTTCGGTTGATTGGCTCTTCTCATTCATCCCTCAGACTCTTGTTGCTACAAAGATCAATACTACAAACAGATCACACGCTAAAACACGCTAAAAGTGACTACACATACACGATGAATAATTTATTTATTTGTCATTTTGTTATTATTTTTTTAAATTACTATTTTTATTATTGTCATATTGTTATTATTTAATTTGCCGTGTGTAATTTTTCTCCTTATTTGTAAGTATTAGTCAAATTAATA